TATATATATATATATATATATATATGTATATATATATATATATATATAAGTAAAAATAATTTAGTCTATTAAAACTAAACCTTCTTCTTAATAATAATAATAACTAAATGTTTATAGAGCGAGATGATGCTATCTATCAAGCTTATAAGGGGGTAGATAAAACAAGCAAAGAACAAGCGAGAAAATAATCATAATAAAGATAATAATAAAAGAAATAATAATAATAATAAATGAAATAATAATAATAATAATAATAATACAGAAAAAAATAATGTTAGAGAGAAAGCAGCAACGATGCAGCAGATGAAATGCTGGCGTAGTAGTATATAACGTAGTTACACAGGATATAGTAACAATATAATAAAAAACAAAATAAAAATAAAATGAAATAACAAAAGAAAAAAGTATTTAATAGGGATTTATTGCATCAGCGTGAGGTGTACATACACCCCAGCAGCAGAAACATAAAGAGAACAAGCAGCAGCAGCAGCATAGTAAGTATTAATAAATAGGATTATAAACCGAGTTGTTGAGCTGTATATTAAACATTTTAATGTTTTTTTGTTCTTTTTTTATTTCTTTTTTACAAGAAATCCCTGAAATAAGCTAATTGGGCTCTGCGGTGTATGTACACCTACGCAGCGGCAATGCATGCAGCTACGAATGTATGAGCCCTTTAGTTAATTAGATTATATTTTTCGAGTTTGTTTATTATTTTAATGATAAAAAAGAGTTAAATTCATAAATTAAATTTCACAGATTTCAGGTGTATAGGCAGCTCCCACCAACACCGCCACCGCCGACACCCTGCGCGGCTCGTCCTCAGGGGAGCTGTGGCTGCAGCGTTTTTTGCATTTTTATATATTTTCGATCAAAACAATTTCATCTATTAATTAATATTTAATTAAATTTACTTTTTCTGCATTTACAAACCTTCAGCAGCTGCTACCGCCCCCCTCTCTTGACTCTCCCTATAGCCCCTCCCCCTCCACGGCCTAGTCTGTATTTCCTGCTTTCTCTGTATTTTGTTGGTGAGTATATACATTAATATATTATATATATAAACATAAACTTTCTATAAACAAAGAGATAAACCCTTGAACCTGCAACTCAGCCGCACACCAAACCCTAAACCCTAAACCCTAAACCCTAAACCCTCGGGGGACCCTGTGGCGTTCATTAAAAACAAAACCACCAAACAAACCCCCCAAGGTTGCTGAAGGCAGCAGATCTGCTGCTGCTGCTGCTGCTGCTCGGGCTTTTGCTGCTGCTGCTGTTGCTGCTGCTTCTTCACGAGGCGGCCGCAACCAGCAGCAGCTCCTGCAGCAGCAGAGGGAAGAAGCAGCAGCAACAACAGCAGCAACAGCAGCAAGCGCGAGGAGGAGCAGCAGCAAGTGTGTGTTTGTGTGAGTTTGCTGCAGCAGCAAAATGCTGAACTGTATAGACACCGCAGCACCGCTGCAGCAGCAACTGCCGCCCGCAGAGATAAGCAGCAGACACAGCAGGGGCGGATTTAACCCCTATGTAAACAACGGAGGGTGAGAAGGGTTTAGGGTTTAGGGTTTAGGGTTTAGGGTTTAGGGGTTGATGAGTATTTGTTCCTCAGCTGGCAGTACCACTCCTCTCCTGGTTGATAGAAGAAATGCATAACAAACCTAGGGTTTTTTAGGGTTTAGGGTTTAGGGTTTAGGGTTTAGGGTTTAGGGTTTAGGGTTTGTGTGCAGTACGGTGGTTTGTGTTGCTGGCGATGGTTTTGCTGTTGGTGTTGGCGACACCCGGCTGTCTGTTGGTTACAGCATTCACTCCCGCATGCAATCCAAGCTTACTAAACTGTAAACCCTTTGCTGCTGCTGCTGCTGCTGCTGCTGCTGCTGCTGCTGCTGCTGCTGCTGCTGCTGCTGCTGCTGCTGCTGCTATTGGTGGTGCTGCTTCTGCTATTGCTGCTGCCGCTGCTGCTGCTGCTGCTATTGGTGGTGCTGCTGCTGCTATTGCTGATGCTGCTGCTGCTTCTATTGCTGCTGCTGCTATTGCTGCTGCTGCTGGTGTTGCTGCTGCTGCTGCGGCTGTTGCTGCTGCTGCTGGTCTCGTTGCTCGTGATGGTGGTAGTGCTGCTGCTACTCACGCTGCTTCTGCTGCTGCTGCTGCTCCTCTCTTGGCTAGTGCGGCTGCTGCTGCTGCAGTTTCAGCAGCCCTTGCTGCTGTTCCTGTTGCAGCTGCTGTTGATATGAATGCTGCTGCTGTTGCTGCTGCTGCTGCTGTTGCTGCTGCTGCTGCTGCTGTTGCTGCTGCAGGACATCCCGCTGCAGCATCGCATCTTCGGGGATGCAGGCAGACATAAACACTCTACACAAATGGCTCAAGGTAATGTTATTTATTTATTTATTTATTTATTTATTTATTTATTTATTTATTTATTTATTTATTTATTTATTTATTTGTTTGTTCCTCTGTTTATCTATTTCTTTCCTTGTATTTGTCGCCTCTCGTTTTGTTTTTCTGTTTTGTTGGTTCTCTGTCTATTCTTTTTGTTTATCTGTTTACATCTGTTTCTTCTGTGTGCGTTCTTATTTTTTTTTGTTTTTTTTTTATTTTTGTTTGTTTGCTTGTTCGTGTGTTTACTTTCGTTTGTATGTTTGTTTGTTGAGCCTTTATGTATCCGATTGTGTATTTATTTCAAGCCCTTAGGGTTTAGGGTTTAGGGTTTGGGGTTTAGGGTTTAGGGTTTAGGGTTTATTGGGGTGTATATGCAGGTCCGCGTTGCCCTGTTCAAGCACCAGCATAGAGAGGAGCCCAGCATAGAGGCCCTCGCTCAGTTGCTGTCTACTGTTTTATATTCTCGTCGTTTTTTTCCTTATTATACTTTTAATGTTTTATTCGGCATTGATAATGAAGGTAAAATAAAAAAAAAATTAAAAAAAAAAATACGAAAATTCAACATAGGGAGCGCTGGAGCTGCCTATACACCCTGCGGTGTATCCGCAGCTTTCTTTTTCTTTTTTCTTGTTTTTTCTCTTTTGGGGTGTACGTGCATCTTTTTGTATATATTATATCTTTTTTTGTTGCTATATACATGCATTTTCTTTTTCTATCCATCTCCTTCTTTCTCCTTTTCTTTCTGTTGTATATATATATATATATATATATATATATATATACATGTATCTGCTTCTTGTATCTGTATCTATCAATCAGTATAATGCTGCATATCTCTATATATTAATTAATTAATTAATTAATTTATTTATTTATTAATTTTTTTATTTATTTATTAATTTGTTTATTTATTAGTTTATTTATTTATATTGGGGTGTATACGCAGGTAAAGGGGCTGTCTATGGCTACGATGCCGTCGGCTCTTACGAAAGAGCAGAATACAATTGTGCGGGCACAGGCAGTGCTTTGGTTATGTCTATACTCGATAACCAGGTAACTCTTTGTATATATTTATATATATATATATATATATATATATATTTGTCTATTTTTATATTTGTTTATTTATTTATTTTGTTTATTTATTTATTTATTTATTTATTTATTTATTCATTTATTTATTATATGTGTTTGGATATATATTATGATACGTGTATATTATATATACTATATTTAAATATTATAACACGTGTATATTATATATATTATGTATATATAATATACATATATTACATGTGTGTGTATATATATTATATTTATTTTATTTATTTTTATTTTATTTATTTTTATTTTTATATTTATATTGTTTATAGATCGCCAGAAACAACCAACTGAAGCAAAGACCAAAGATGACGAAGGAGGAGACAATTGCTTTTGTTAGAGGGGTTCTCGCGTCTGCGGGGGAGAGAGATATATACACAGGTATAAAGGGTTTAGGGTTTAGGGTTTAGGGTTTGAGGGCTGCTAGGGTTTAGGGTTTAAGGGTTGCTAGGGTTTAGGGTTTAAGGGTTGCTAGGGTTTAGGGTTTAGGGGGACCGAATACCATCTCTGTCTCTGCTTTTATTCTGTCTGTCTCTCGCTGTAAACAGCTAACTTGCGAGGGTTTGAGTCAAAGGGTTTAGGGTTTAGGGTTTAGGGTTTAGGGTTTAGGGTTTGTGGTTCAGGCGACCAGACGGAGGTTATGGTGATAGATAGCGACGGCATCCATACAGAGTTTGTGCCTCTAAGGAATGATTAAAAAATAAACAAACAACAAACATATACTAGGGTTTAGGGTTTAGGGTTTAGGGTTTAGGGTTTAGCAGCAACGACGTGTTTTTGTATCTGTAGATATGCAATTGGGGTTTAGTGTTCTATTACTACTCCT